TGCAGCATATGCGATCTGCATCATATGCGATCTGCAAGCATATGCGATCTGCAAGCATATGCCAGATGCGATCTGCAAGCATATGCCACATTCGATGTGCAAGCATATGCGATCTGCAAGCATATGCGATATGCAAGCATATGCGATCATAGCTATGCTATGCTACGCTATGCTATGCTACGCTATGCGATATGCTACGCTATGCGATATGCTATGCTACGCTATGCGATATGCAAGCATATGCGATCATAGCTATGCTATGCTACGCTATGCTACGCTATGCTATGCTACGCTATGCTACGCTATGCTATGCTACGCTATGCTACGCTATGCTATGCTACGCTATGCTACGCTATGCTATGCTACGCTATGCTACGCTATGCTATGCTACGCTATGCTACGCTATGTGCTACGCTATGCTACACTATGCTACACTATGCTACGGAGCTACGGCCCACTCGCGCGAACAGCGCGCTCTAGTAGGAAAGCGGAGGCCTTAGGCCGATTCGCCGTCCCTCCGTCCGTCCGTCTCTCTGTCCACCACGTCGCGGGTTCGATCCCCCTCGCGTGCGCGTCTTTTTTTTTGCCTGCTTTTTTTTCTTTTTTTTTCTTCGTATGCTTCATATGCTTCATATGCACATATGCACATGTGTTTCGATATGCACGCATGCTTCATATGCAAGCATATGCCGCATGCGATGTGCAATCATATGTGATCTGCAAGCATATACGATCTGCAAGCATATACGATCTGCAAGCAGCGCTGCCTTCCTGCTAGTCGCTTTTTCTAGCTTCGTCTTCTACGTGCCCTTCATGTCTTCTTATCCGCGACACATATCTGCGTCTGCATCTGCGCGTTTCCAGATGTTGTGAAACAAGGCGCGGAAAGGCTGCATCTGCGACACAATGCGACAAGCTTTTCTGTACAGTTCAGCTATGGACGTTGCGCGCAATTCAGCTGCTTGACCGAATCACGCAATTGCGCACGTGTGCCGAAGCGCGCGATTCGCACACCTCTAAATGCGCGATTGAACGTGCAATTCAGCATGCAATTCGCCGCGGGATTCAGCGCGCGCTTTGGCGCACAATTCGATGCGCGCTTCAGCGCGTGCTTCGATTCTGCGTCGGAATTATTGTCGTACGCGCTTCGTGTAGCGCCGTTCTTCGGTTGTAAGCTTTGACGATTCTCGCAATTCCGCAATGCCGAAATATTTTCCAGTTTTTTGCTTTTTCTTTTCGCTTTTTTTTGCGTTCTTCGCCGTTCACGACCTCGTATTGTCGTACGCGCTTCATACAGCGCCGTTCTTCGGTTGTAAGCTTTGACGATTCTCGCAATTCC